AAAAAACATCAAATAACAGGAATACTGCAAAAATATACCACTATAGTACATACTCTCCGTTTTACCCCAGGTTTCGGCCAGTGATCATTTTCTCTTCTGCTCTCATATGACCACACATAAACACATTGACAGCACATATCCGACAGACTCTATCGCTACCACACCAACATACTCAAAATAATAAAATCAAGTATATATATTTTCCTATCATCATATTACTTGCATGCACATAACCAAACCCCTAGACCTTTCTATTTCTAACACGCGCTGTCGTGCCGCGCCCATTTTTTTGTTTGCTTCCCTTAGACATATAAAAAATCCATCGCTAACCAGCTGCGCCCTCGGCAGCAAAGACAGGAATAGAAGCGAGAAGCTGAACAAAGAAGACAAGTCGGGCACGCAACCCGTGATGACCTCGTATTTTCATATCATATAATTATGCTGCTGCAGCAATCTATGCTTACTACAAATTTAATTATTTCTAGCCCAATGGACCGAATGGATGGGATATGGACATGGACATGACGATGGCTGATACTCAAAGTTCACTCAAAGAGGATGAGCCGAAAAGACTCTATTCTATTGGATATTGAAAGTGCATGTTTGTAGCACTACAAGTACAAGAAAAATTTGGTATTTTAAAATAATTGTCTCTAATGGAAGAGATCGGCAATCTCAATTTACAACTCATGCCATCCACGCACATTAGTGAAGGAACAGTTAGAAATCAGGAGGTTTTTGGCCTCCTGAGCGCGTGTTAATGAGGGTGTTCCCATACCGAACACTGCGGGCATGCAACTCCTTGACTTCTGTGTGAAGGTCCTTGACCTCGATGCGCAATGCATCCAGCTCCTCCCTCTTGCCCAGAGTCAGCTTGCGCTTGGGAGCAGGTGTCAGCCTCTTCAGGATCAGCTTGACCTACTTTGGGTCGTTCAATGACTCAGTCTGTCTTGCCTGCTCATGCAGAAGACTAGGCTCTCAACAGAACTCAAGCGCTTTCAACAGCGCCGCTGGAGCACTCTCAACGGTGCAACTGGAGCACTTTCAACAGTGTAAATCTCAAGCGCTCTCAACAGTGCAAAGTTTTTTCAGTTAGAAGGTGATGGGGGGTACTTAAGTATGTAGTATGTATATATCTGATTGATTTCTTGCAACTGGAACATGCCCTGGGCTATGATACTCTAGATATAAAAAGACATTGACCTGAAGATCCCCAAGTAGTGGGAATGTAAGTGTCATCACAGATAACCTTGGATGCAAGTATGAAAGCAGATACGAAAAGACGGTGACCCAGAGATACCTGAATACTCCAGGATTTGTTGGAGTAAGTGTCGTCACAGATAACCTTGGATGCGAGCATGAAAGCGGATACGAAAAGATGGTGACCCGAAGATCCCTGAGCAGTGGGGAAGCACACTTTGAGTTGCTGAAGGGGGATGAGGGCAGCGAAGGTTACAGAAGAGTGAAGCTTTGTTTGGTGAAGTGCATATGCGATGAAATGGGGGAGCTTTACTTGTGAGTTAGAAGAGGAAGGGGGGTACTCTGGACAGGTAAAAAGATGGTTAATTATTGAACGCGTGTGTCTCATGGTGTGATATGGCAGGTTTCACTAGGAAGTATACAGCACAAACTCGCAGCGTCATTCTGTGCGCTACCCACAGCTATCTCTATATGACGCGCAGCTTTCCCACGCAACGCGCGCCATGCGCGCACCATTCCCGCGCTTCGCGATGTATACGCGCGCGCGCGTTCCTGCGCTTGCGCGCCCTATGGCGCCAGCCATCCAGAAGCATCCATCCACTGTCCACCAAGCTCCCTAGTGCGTATATTTCCATTTCCTTTATTAGCATAGTTCCACCTTTATTTTTATCATGCATTCTCACTCATATATATATTTACATACCTACTCGGTAGCGCTTCGGCTCCGCTTGACCGCGCTTAGGCGCGCTATATAAGCGCCAGCAGTACATACTATTAGAAACCTTACTTTTCCCTTGAACTTACTAGTTATCACCCACTATTTACTTAGCAGTACATAGTAGAAGTCTATTGGTCTACACTTTGCATCTATCTTTTCTTATATTGCTTTATATCATCACTTAAGCTTAGTCTCTTTTATTTCCGCTTACGCGCGCGCGCTTTCCCGCGCTTCGCGCTAATACGCGCGCGCGTTCCCGCGCCTTCGTACTTTGCGCGCACTTGCGCTTTCTCACGCTTCGCTGAAGCGCGTACCTCTAGATCTTCGCAGCACTCGCTTCCCCTAGGGTCGAACGCACTTGTCTCCTCAAGAATAGCAGACTAGGTAACGCGCGACCTCACAACATTTTATAGATACAGTTAGGAGCATCCTTGTTCCTCATTGTATTGTTGTTTCTACACCGTGTGCATAAATGAAAACATTCTACTATGTACTTGACAAATGGAATCGAGCTACACAATTATTGCTATGCTAATGTGAAAATAACATGTTTTCAAATTGTGCCCAAACCATCCTATCCCACTCATCTTCTTGCCAAATTGGCATGTATATGCTTTGTATTTGACTAATGCCTACCATCCAGACACACACATTTTTAAGTCGAACACACACTTCAAGCAGATCACGACACTGCTCGCTGAAGTTAATGTCGAGGGGAATGCAAAGACATCCAAAGGAGCCCTGAAGAGCACGCATGCCCCACTCTGCTGTTTGACGAAAAGAAAGCAGCTGCCGGTCAAATAAAAGCAGCTTCTGTCTTTTGGCAGGATCATTAGGGAGGTGTTGTCCTGACTTGAGTGGGGCTTTGATGTGACCCGCAATCTGATCTGTACCTCACAGGGAAAGCTGTATCAGCGACAAGGTAGTATTCGTCTGGTGTGTTTGCACTGAGTGTGTTGTAGATGGGTTGGGCCATGTGGGAGTCATGCCAGCTGCCTGGCACATTGAGGCAGCAATGAATTATTGAGCCTGCGAGTAGTAGCAATCAGAATGAAAGACTGAGCGGATGATTTGGACAACAGCGCACCGTCAGCACTAAATGCAATGACCGAACTGACAAAGTGACTGTGCAACCACCCATTATAGGTTGCGTTCTCGATCTCTTGGTCCTGGGATGTTTGGACAGGTAAGTTTAGTCTATCTAGTGTGCTGAAGCCCCCCGTCAACAAGGGATGACACACAATGACAAGTTCATTTAAAACTTGAAATTGATCCCCAGAAGGCCACTGGATGTAGGCTTTGGGGATGTTCTTGAGTGTGCAAAGTAGTATGGTGAGGGAAAAATGTAGATAGTGTGAGACGGTTGTTGGGATAAGTGCAAAAATTTGCATGAGGCTGACCTCTTGCATGGTTGAGTTGAGCCAATGAAGAACAAGGTCTAATGCACCAGCAGTGTCCAGGGAATGTCGATAAGCATGAGAGTGAGCAGTGGCAGGAATATCGTCGCGGGGGATGGGAGTGATATCCCAAAGAGTTGCGAAGCCATGTGAGAGAATGTAGTGAAACATAGGGATGTCAACGCCCATGGTTGTGATAAATGCATGGTTTTTCTGTCCTGAGTAGAGTGCTTGCCAAGGAGTGTTCAGATGTGGATTGGGAAGTAGGTCACTATGAATGAGATATCTTCTTCTTGTTTGCCAGCGTTCAGAGCGTTCATAGCATGATTGTTCAGCTCCAACAAATATAAGGACACCGAGAATTCCAATGAGCCTTCTCTGTAATTCATAGTCTTCATCATCGTCATCAGTCAGAGTGAGAGTTTCACCAGCAATGTTGTATGCCATGTTTAGAGTTTAGGAAGTAGAATTAGATCATGAAGTTTATTTGACTGTGTCCATGGTTTAGAATGAGTTTCTAGATGTAAATTCTACCTTGCCGAACCTCCGAACTTTAAGGTTTAGAATGAGATCTGGATTTCCAAATCCCACGGGAAGTCATCCATTGAATGCATTTATTTTCCCATTTTCCCATTTTTCCTGCTTCCCGTCTCCCGTCTCCCGTCTCCCGTCTCCCGTCTCCCGTCTCCCGTCTCCCGTCTCCCGTCTCCCGTCTCCCGTCTCCCGTCTCCCGTCTCCCGTCTCCCGTCTCCCGTCTCCCATCTCCCATCTCCCAGTTTCCCATTTTTCCATCCTCCCATCTCCTGTTCTCCCATTTCCCATTCTCCCTGTTTCCTGTTCTCAATTTTCTGTCCTCCCATTCTCCAGTTTTTGAGTTTCTATATTCTCAATGTTTCCTTTTGATTTATTTTTTCACAACCTTTTGTCATTCATTTCCTGTCACCACATATATTTGTTGTTCCATTTTAGTTTTATTATTTACTGTATGTATGTACCCTAAATAATTACAATGGGGAAAATCCTGCGTAGCGTGCTGCTCTAATGGGCAACAGCAATTCAGTTGGCGCTTGAAAACATGTGACAAAGCCACACGAGTTTCCAAAAAGAGGTTTAAGCAAGGTAAGCGACATAAACGAATCTAAGTGTTTGCAAGCACATCCAAGTGTATCTACGCGAAAACCACACGAGCATGCGAGAGTTTCTGAAAACCATTCTCCCTTTCTTTTTAAGATACTGAGATGTAAGTTAGCATTTTCGTAAATGTTTGACTAAAAGTCTAACACATTAGTAGATTCGTACCTTGTGTTTAGGTACAACATTTGTTAGCTGAGTTTCAACTCAAATACTGAGATATTTGTACCTTGTGTTTAACTCCATTGTCCCCATTCCGAAAACCAGCAAAAACTGCAATTGCTATAGTACTCAAGTTCTGGAGCACTCAAACCATGTCTATTGTAAGTACACAACCACTTGTGACCTCCTGTGACGGCACTATTGGAGGTGTACTGCAATATTTGAGGTGTACTAACAAATAGTTCAAAAGACTAACAAACAGTGATCGGACTTCAAAATAAGTTGCGGCAAATCGAACCGTCCACCATAAGGGTAGCACCGGCGGAGTCTGAATTTCAAAAGTCAGTCAGTATATAAACCCTCCTCCATTCGAACTTGCCTTCTTTCCGACTTTCATCTTCGTACTTGTAGGTTTGTGGTGTCATACATATCATTATATCCACGTAGTAGTTGTAGTAATAATTAGTACAACCAATAGGGCTTGCACTTGCAAATCGCAAGCCGTCATTGTCGTAGTCATAATTCATCGCACGTTTCTGACCGTACGTGGCAATCATCGCATGGTTAAGGTGCTCCCGCCCGCCGTCAGATGAACCCTCTCTTTAAGTAGAGGGACGTGCACCGATGTATGGTGAGGTTTTTGCCGCCCACCGTTTTTGAAATTAAATTAAGACAACTGACCTGTCGTAAATGCAGACGGCTGCACTCGCACAATCGCCAATAAATGTTCTGGCCCTTATCCGAATCTAGCTCGGATCACGCCTTCCTCCTGTCGGAGGTATGTCTGGTTTCACGCTTCTGTCTCACCACATGAATTATACTGAAGTGTTTCTAACATTATACCAGCGTTGGTGCTACTCGCGCTACCATATCAATCATATAATGGAAGCGTGCGTGTCAAGTCTTCGTCTTTGAAGACATCAGCTTAAATGTCCGTTAGCCGCTGTGAACACGCACCTCTACGATGATAATACATTCCTGGTACGCAAGCTCGCCCAAAGTATTTGCTAATATTTACTGAATGACAGGTCAGTCTTGCATCAATCTCGGTTGGGAACATGTCACTAACCCATGTACCCGCAAGTGTCACTCGCACACTCGGCGACATACAGCCCCTGCCATGGACCTCGCTTTCTTCGACTTAGTGATACCTCAACGTATTTGCCCCCCCTTCCGCAAAGGCAACACGGGTATCGGAATACATGAGTCTCTCGATAACCTTTGAATCTCGAAGGGTGGATCTTGTGTCCCTGTAGGGTAGTTGGCCTACATTCATGTATGTGTTCGTGAGTTGTTGTTGTCAACGTTACAAGAACTAACCATTGAAATGTTGCCAGTTCTGCTGTTTGGCCGTGGTAATGCAGAACGCCATGGCGCGCTATCAGCACTCTCACTAGCATTCGGACGATCATGGGGTCGGGTGCAAATTCCGCTCTCTCAATACTAGAGCACGCAGAAGGAGAAGATCTATCTGTCATCGCAGGCTTCAGATAGAAGGTGACCTACCACGAATATACAAAAGACTATATAATGAATTTCCGTATTAGTTTGGTGTCTTGCCATTGTGTTTATGGCCATAGATGTCGGAAATGAAATTGACACACAATTGTCAGTCACTGGCACTGCGCCATCGTATTAGTGACATAAGATCATGTGTAATCTCCGGTGAATGTCGCTTCTCTGCATGGAAGCGCGCAATGAATTTACTAAGCTTGAATAGTACTGCAGAATTATTGAAGTGTTCGGCTGCGACCATCACGCCATCATAGGCGGAATTCTTAAAGTCACTGCTTGACAACATTCCACGGCCATGCCCGAATACACATGCGTTTGCAAGCGCACGTTCACTGCGCAAAACTATTACAGCCTACACCAGCACTCATGTGCTCACACCAAAAAGCGTTTATCAGGGGCGATATCTACCTTCAAAGACTTCGTAAGTCGCAGAAAAAAGCCACGCAT